ATATGTACAAATAGAAAAAATTATAAAAAGGCAGTTCCGATTAAAGAGGGTCATGTCAGGTCGACCAAGTGACCAAGGCCCCTCGCACTGTTTTTCAATGACCCTCAGCAAAATAATAAGACAAAAATTGAAAAATAAAATTTAAATGAAATCAAGCCGATTATAAGCGCAAAAAAAAAATTAACAAACTTAAAATACACAATAAGAAGCATACTTACATATAACAAGCATACATATATAAATCTCAATCTCTGTCAGCCCCCAATCCTACCCCCGGCTATGAAACCATTTCAAAATAAACAAAGAAGAAGAGTGCTCAGTCAACTTGCCGCTCACTTAAATAAGCCCTAACCCTTGGCTTATTCAGGAAATCAGAGAAAGAGTCTTGAAGGAATCAGGTAGCCAATTGTATAAGTTAGGCATACAATACGTAAAGCTGCGTTTGAAAATTTCTAAGCGGTGGTGAGGTACCGTTAGAGTATATTTATGCCTAATATTAATATTATGGATATCTGTGCGAAATCTAATTTTATCATAACGGTAAGGCGGATTTTTGTGTAAGATAATTTTGTGGTAGAGACATAAGCAGTGAAGAGTCCTTCGCCGTGTCATGCTCAACCAACTTTTGAATTTTAGCAGTGTGAACGCTGTCAAGGCAGGAGTGATATATTACGTCACCGTAATTGAAGATGGACAACACCAAGGCATCACAGAGATGCGTTCTAAGGTTCTGGTTCAAAATGTATCTGTTGTTGTAAAGCAACCTTAATGTAGAGTAAGCTCGCCGTAGAAGGGACCGAACATGCCCATCAAAGCGAAGGCGCTCATCGAAACATATACCCAAATTTTTTACATTTTCCCCAAAGCTAAGACGACTTCCACCCATCACCAATTGCAAGTTAGTTTTTACAAACTCGGATGAAGCTCTATCCCCAAAAACCATAACCGATGACTTACTAGAATTAATCCGTAGACAAAGCTTGCCAGCAAGTTCTTCGACCTTAACTAAGTCATGATTAATTTTGCTTTCAGCGTCTTCCATATCACACAGTTTAAAGGAGTAGAGCAGTTGAGTATCATCAGCATAAAAGTATGGCATACAGTGATCCAAAACATTAGCGAACCCAATTGTAGATATCAGATATAACAGAGGACCCAAAATAGAGCCCTGTGGGACACCCGATATAACATCTGCGGTATTGGATGTACCACCATTAAGTTTAACCAACTGCTTTCGTCCAGACAAATAACTTTGTACTAAATGAATCGAACCTAAAGAGAAACCTATATAATGGAGCGCAGCCACTAAAGTATCATGATATTCTATCAAAAGCCTTAGAAAAATCCAAAAGTGTTAAGATAGTAACCCGTTTGTCGTCAATTGCCTTGAAGATTTCATCCGTCACACCCAGAAGCGTAGTAGCGCTACTAAAGCCCGGACGAAAGCCAGACTGGTAACTGGGCAACACATTATAATCATCAAGATGACAGCGAAGTCTGACCGCCATGACCCTCTCACAAACCTTGGATAATATAGGCAATATACTAATTGGCCTTAAGTCCCCCAATTCATGAGGATTTTGGGTTTTTGGAATTGGAGTTACCAGGGCGATCTTCCAAATATCAGGGAACACAGAACATTCAATGGAATAATTAATTATATGGCACAAGAAGCGCAAAATTGTAGGACAACACATTAAAAGCATTTTAACACTTATGCCATCCATACCAACAGAGTTTGATTTGATACCACATAGAATATTGAAAATTTCAGTTTCATTTGTAAGAGAAAATGTTAGTTTTTCTGTAACTTGTGGAAGTATGTTATTCCAATAAAAGTTAATCAACTCAGCACTTCCCGTTGAATTAGTTTGAGTGCTGAGAAGGAAATTATTAATAGTATCAGCATCAAAACCAGTATCAGTCAATACTTGAGTCTTATTTTTGACAACACCCAATTTCCTAAAACTCATCCAAAGATCACGAGATGATCGCTCCTGAAACAATGTGTTTAAAAACGCCCGTTTTTCTCTCAGAATGGCCGAGTTAGTGTAATTACGTAGTTGTTTATAATACTGGAAGTGATTGGGACACCTGCTCTGGCGGAATCTACTATAAGCCTGATCACGAAATCTCATAAGGAGCTTGATGTTATCAGTCACCCAAGGGCAATAGTTTTTACGGATGGAAACAGTACGCAAGGGCGCATGACGATCAAAAAGATTATGAATTGAATCAACAAAAAAGGCCAGCTTATCATTAATAAGGTATCCGGCACCAGGGTACTGACAGCAAATCCGCAGAAAACATGTCAGAATTAAGGTGTTTGAAATCACGAAATGTAAGTTTCGGGTATACATTTTTTAATGTTCCATGCATCCCGAGATCAACGAACACCAAATTATGATCTGCAATATCATGAATAGGTGTATCATGAATAGTAATAATCTAATAATGAACGAAGATAATAGTGGGGTGATAAGGCATTATTATTATTATTATTATTATTATAGTCTTTGATAATAAATTGGTTAATAAACCTTCTACAATCTACGATATTGAGGTACGACGGGAGATCAAGATTTTTGGTGTTCATCTTGATAGTGTTATGAAGTTTAAGTGTCACATGGAACAACTCTGCTATAAGCTATCAAAATCTATATTTGGTCTTAGAGTGATTAAAAATACAACTAACAAAAAGATTGCCAAGATTTTTTATTCTAGTAACATCGAATCACAGGAGCATCTGTACAGTTCAGTAATGCCTTTAAACTTCGGAAAAAAGCGATAAGAGTGTTATGTAATCTTAAATATATTGAATCGTGTAGACATCGATTCCCAGAAGAGAATCTCTTAACTTTACCGGCGATTTACATTCTCGAGTGCTCAATATTTGTTTTCAAACATAAAAACTATTTTCAACAATTTGTTAAGACAAACCAATATGTTACTAGACACAATCATATCTTCATGCTGCCTAAACATAGGTACTATTCATGTGCATTCATGTGTGAAAATCTGGAATAACATCCCTGTAGAAATCAAATTAATAATTAGGTTAAACTTATTTAAGACAAATATGCGATATTTACTTTGTAATTTAGCACCTTATTCGCTCGATGAATTTTATAATAGCCATTGAATTTCGTTTTCTTTTTTGACGCTAAGTGAATAGTAATGAGATGTGCATTTTTTGTTGTTTTTGTCTCTTTACTTTCTCAATAAAGTTTATTTATTATTATTATAATGTAGTTTGTTTGACTGAGACGTGGCTGCATTCTGGAAGTTTTTCCCACTAATTTCCTAATTATTATCCAATAATACCTTACCTTTTCCATGCAGAGGGGTCGCACAAAGCTTTCTGAATCTATCTTCGTATAACGACACGGTTGCCTCCAGTGCTTATGGTGTATATTCACTGTTTGCAACTTACTTTAACTCAGTTTTCAATACTTTACAGCCTGGAGCTGCTACTCTGTCATTTTCTAATGGTTCTTCTACCGGTGTGGTGTATTTTGAGCAGCCAGAGGTTGAGGAAGCATTAAGTGGCGTTGACGCTAAGAAGGGGCATTCATTATTATTTTTGTTTTTATTTTATTTGTTATACTATTGTTATGTTTATTGTTATCTTTATAATTATGTTACGCTATTTTTCACGATGATGTTTATATATTTTTGTTCTATTTTTTGTTGTAATTTTTGAGGCACAGCTTTCTCTGGGTTTATTCTATTCTGCGCCCAACTTATTGTGTAAATAAATAAAAAACCGACAAAGAATTATTTTGGAAAATCATGTATTTTAGAGGACTTTATCGATGTAAATCATTAAATTTTTAATACATTTTTTTCTGAAAATTCTAAATCTTTATAACTTCTGAAAAAGAATTCTTTATTTGCTTCATAATCCCAATTCTATGTAACCCAGAAAAAAAGATACACTTAATTACTTCCATGGTACGGAATCACAAAAGAGCTTTTATATCCGCAAAGTGGAGTGAAACGAACCCAAAAAGAATACAACGAGAGAAAAATGACAATGCGACGGATTTGTGTAACATTTTTTGTGCGCAGACTTCCAACCGCACCCACAATTCCATTAAAGAGACTCCCAAAAAAATATTAAAATCACAAATTTATGTGACACATGCATAATTTTATTTATCTTTCTTTTTTAATAAACATATTTCATTATTTTTTTTTAATCCACTTAAATATGAGAATTTGTTTATTATTATATCCTTCAGTTGGAAGATGTCTATTAACAAAAAGAAGCGTCTCAAATCTAATCTATACATAAACAAACTTCAAGCAAACAAATACCAGAAACATCTGTTCAATAAAACGAAAAGCAAAGGAAGCGGCGAAGCAAAAAGAAAACGTAGAAGACGATATTGGATGTAAAAGGGATACTAAGCTGCCGTAAAAGGCAAAAGTAAACGTATTTAAGAAACCCATCAAAAAAGAATACCGAGAGAAGGATGTAGTCAGCACGAGATTACCAAGCAGTGTGCATGTTTATTTTCGTCTCAACTAAAGAGCTTTAAACGGCTCGGCCTCTTTGAACTTGAATATACAGTTTTAATTTCAATCGTGGTGTAAATGAGGACGATATTGATGTAATATTTTGTTTTTAAATAAATATATCCGGTACATAAAACTTTTTATTTTTAGATCAAAGACAAATCTTAAATATTTTGATGTAGGATTTACCTAAATATTATTTTTCGGAAATAGAAGGAAAGTTAAAAGAAAAACTAATTTAAACCTTTCAAAAACAGATTTTGAATTTAAAAAACGTTGATAGCGCCATCTCTTAAACATAATCCAAATTTTCAACAATTTTATTTAAATAAATAAAAATTTTAGAATTATTTACTAAAATTAATCATAAATCTAAAATAAATATTTAAAAATTAATATGATATTTAAAAGTATTAATTTCTTTTTCATTAAATGTTTAGGGAATTCTAGGGATTTCTAATTTATTTTTATTTAGTTGGTAGCTTTGTGACAGAATAACCGTTTTGTTAAGCCGGAAATCTTTCAAATAATATTCTGGTGAAACCAAGGGTTAAAACACTCACATGTTCCTTTACTTTATCAAAAAAAGTGTCTCGTAATCATTAAATTATCATATAAATCTAACCTCAATCGAATATAATGGAGATTTCGGACGATAATTTGCGGACCCTCGGAGATTACCTACAACAAACGCTAAGCCCTGATGTTAATATACGAAAACCAGGTAAAAATCAAATAATTAACCGCTTAAAAGAACATTTTTACATAAACAAATATAAATAACCTTTGTTTACATTCTTATTTGTAGCGGAAAAGTTTTTGGAAGGAGTGGAAGTGAATCAAAACTATCCACTTCTCCTATTACATCTTGTCCATAAAAATGAGATTCAGATGGAAATACGTATTGCGGGATCTATTGCCTTCAAGAATTATATTAAAAGGAATTGGAGTGTTGATGAGGATCAACCAGATCGGATACATGAAAGTGATAGAGCTGCAATTAAGCATTTGATTGTTACGTTAATGTTGAGTTCGCCGGAAATGATACAAAAGCAATTAAGTGATGCTATTAGTATTATTGGAAAGACTGATTTTCCATTAAAATGGCCGGAATTAATTACCCAGATGATTGAAAAATTTTCTACCGGTGATTTTAATGTTATTAATGGAATTTTACGTACAGGCCATTCATTGTTTAAGAAATATAGGTATGAGTTTAAGTCCAATGAGTTATGGACAGAGATTAAATATGTTTTGGAGAAATTAGCTCAACCACTTACTGATTTATTATTGGTAATAATTATTTTTATTACAATAAATTATTGTATTAATAAATTACATTCCTTTTTAGGCAACTTTAAATTTAACTCAAGTCCATGCCCAAGATGCAAATGCTTTAAAAATTATTTATAGTTCTTTAGTATTGATGTGCAAAGTTTTTTACTCGTTAAACTCTCAAGATTTACCAGAATTTTTTGAAGATAATATGAGTACTTGGATGAATAGTTTTCATACTTTATTAACGGTTGAAGTAAAAATATTAGATACAGGGGTAATTAATACATTTTATATGTCACTCTCTCTATAATAGTAAGGCCTAGAGGTTTGGAAAAAAATCCTTATTAACAAAGTTGATAAAGGAAATATCTGGAAATTATTTTCTAGTTTGTAATTCCACTACTATGGGGTATAACTGGTATAAGGCAACATAAAATTCCTGTAATCTGACAAAGTTAAATGAAGCTATAACTTTGAAAACATCATTTAATAGGTAATTTTTGTAAAACCGTTTGGTTTAAAACAAATAAGCTAGAGGGCGTTATCTGCAGTGATTACATAAAGTCCCTAGATTTACAAAGTACCGCGGTTTGCCGCCATTTTGGCTCGAAAGTCTAGCGGGAAATTTAAAACTATGTCATTCTATTGATAACATTACGCCAAAACTCCTTTCTTTTTTCTCGTGGTACTCTGAAGAGTCGAAAGTCCTTACTGCCATTTTTGCAACTCCAAAGGCAACAAGATGGCAATATTTTTGTAAATAAGTGGTGAGATGCAGTGACAAGCTGTCAAACCGCCATTTTGGCTTAAAAACAGGCTTCATGAAACGCGGTGCTTTGCAAATCTAGGGACTTTATGATTACATATTTTTGAAAAAAGTTAAATGGATTGCCACTATTTACTTGATAGACCTTTAGACACTATAAAATTTGCTAAATTTTAATATCTTGGTATTTTCACCCTTCTTGAATTATGGATGAAAATGTTAAAAATTCTTATACCTTAATTGGACCTTAATCATCAAGTTAATATACAGGTGCCCATTATGTATGGAAAACATTTTGTACAAAAGTTGTTTAATATTTTATTTGCCATAATTCAATTGTTTTTATTTCAGAAAACAAATGAGCAACGAATAAACACTTGAAGTTTTTTAAATGGCAATGAACCCTATTGTTAGGCTCATTTGATAGAGCTTATATCAGAAAATTTTTGAAAAAAAGTAAAAATTGTTTATTAAGAAATTTAACATTAATAATAACATTAATCTAGATATCCGAGATCGCCAAGTACCTCGAAAATTAATTTCCAATAAGGAGCTGTACAGGGTGTCCAAATTTCGATGGGTTTGCAGGTTATCTCAGTTATTATGAAGGATAGAAAGTTGCGGCTTTCGCGAACCTGAGCTACTTTTTTGTGAAACTTACAATGGCGCAAACCAAATTTTCATAGTCCTTTTCAGAAATCCCTGTATCTCGGCTACCCGGAAATGTAAAAACAGGTTCTAATAGATTTTTTCACGTAGAATCCAATGGTGCACGTAGAATTTTTCTAGTTATCACGGTTTTTGAGTTATAAAAAGTTAAGTATTTTAGAAGTTGAGTATTCAGTATTTGAGTTGTGTTCATAACTCAAACACCGTGATGACTAGAAAAATTCTACGTGCACCATTGGATTCCACGTGAAATAATCTATTAGAATCCGTTTTTACTTTCTTACTAAGTTTCCGGATAGCCGAGATACAGGAGGTGTCTGAAAATCGCAAATTTCAAACACTCCCTTTATATCAAAAACGAAGGGGCTATGAAAATTTTGTTTGCGGCATTGTAAGTTTCACAAAAAAGTAGCTCACGTTCGCGAAAGCCGCAACTTTCTATCTTTCATAATAACTGAGATACCCTGCAAACCCATCGAAATTTGGACACCCTGTACACTAATTTTTCGATTATTTGTTTTATTTTGTATGTAAATTTAATTTACAGTAATAATTCGAGATACTTGACAATCTCGGATATCTAGATTAATGTTATTGATTAATTTTTATTAATAAACAATTTTTCCATTTTTCTCAAACATTTTCTGATGTAAGAATAAAAAAATTTTACGCCATCGTAAAGAGAAAAGCAATCTCTATCAAATGAGCCTAAAGAAAGAATACATTGCCATTTAAAAAAATTTAAGTATTATTCCTTACTCATTTGTTTTCTAAATTAAAAACAATTGAATGCAGTTTTATTATGGCAAATAAAATATTAAACAACTTTTGTATGAAATGTTTTTTTATAAAGTTGATACCTACCAAGATATATACAGGTTGTCTCACATAACTGGTTCGTTAGAACATTTTTAGGTTCCACTATTCGTAGAGGTTTGAAATTTTGGTAGCGTGGGTTGTTCATTCGGAACTTTCGATCTAAAATATTTTCAAGATGGCCGCCACTTCCGGTCTACCGGAAGTACACCATAACTTCGTTATTTTAAATGGAATGCTATAGTTTTATTACACCGTTTAATTGTACTTAAAAAATTAGGTTGACTTTGATAAAAGTTATTGGTACCTAGCGTTTTTCGTTTTCGAATTATTTTGGTTTTAAGCTTTTTTTGGTAAATTTCAACATGCTCTGGAGTAACATGCGCATGGAGTATCTTATACAGGGTGGTCAAAAATTGAATTACTGTTTCTTCATATTCAATGGCGAGAAAGTCGAAAATTTTAAATGGAACGCCCCATATTTTTTTAGCCTATCAGAAAAAGAATTTAATTCTCTACAAATTATCTATAAACATTCCCATACCTATTTATTGTAGTTTCCCTCATATTGCGCAATTTATTAAAACATGCACGAAATGCAGGTTTTTTTATTAAAAAGCTATGGAATTTTGACAGTTTTTGGTCCATGTTTGTATTATTGTTGTCATTAGTTACATTTGACGACGGGTGTAAGTTATTGAACATCATGGTAAATTATTCCAACGCCGATATTTGAAATTTATTTTGTATTGATGGCGAATGTAATAAACTTTTGGACAGGACGTGTCGAACACTTAATGAAAGATGCGTAACACATCTAACTCCCATCACAAGGAAAAATTTCAAAAAATTGATAAAGAATTTCTTAGGTGTGGATATATCGAGACCAAAAGAAATCGCATATTTCCGGTCACCAGTGATAAAGACAACGAATAAATATTTTATTGCATTTCCAAATTCAATTTAATAACAAATTTATATTATAAATTTATATTTTTATTCAAATCTAATTTTTGTCATTAACTTTTTGTTTTACTAGTTTAATTTATTTGATCTTCTATTTGTTATTTTTGGTAAGTAAAAGCTAGTAAATTAAAAGATTATCAATCGTAGTTAATAGTACAAATAATAATAGAAATAAATTAAACAAAAAACTGTCAAAATGTCATGGCCTTCTAATAAAAATATAAACGATTTCCTACATTTCCTGCATGTTTTGATAAATTTACGAATATGAGAGAAACTACAATAAATAGGTATGCGAATGTTTATAGATAAATTGTAGAGAATTAAATTCCCTTTTGTGTAGGCTAATAAAATATGGGGCGTTCTATTTAAAGAAGTGGCAGCCATCTTGAAAATATTTTAGTTCGAAAGTTCCGACTGAACAACCCATACTACCAAAATTGCAAAACTGTACGAATACTGGAACCTAAAAAAGTTCTAACGAATCAGTTACGTGAGACACCTGTATACTATATTCCATACATAATGGGCACCTGTATAGGGTCGCTGATATGTATGGAACGGTCGGTTATCTCCTAAACTAAATTAGCTAGCAAAAAATGTTAAGATACAAAAGTTATGACGAAACAAAGTTACGTTTTCTTAATGTCTTTCGTAATGTCTTTACTTTACACATTTATTTTGAATCTGCTTCGGTTTATCAGAGTTTGATAGAAACACAAATTGGTAATTTTAAAACATATTTTATTTCCCTTTTATTACCATTACTCCTGTCGCGAATTTACCCGATGAGAGTTTGCTTAACCCTCCTAATTCTATTCTATTCTACTTATTCTTATTACCTACGTCGACGGCCGAATTGCTGTCGTCGACAATATATGATATTTCCTTTCTTTGGCGTAAGATTGCATATTATGCTTTAATTTATAGAATTTATAAAGATATTTTTCCATTACACTTTCACCGCCCAAGAAAGAGAAAAAAAAAACATTTGACTTTTTTTTTTGTTTAATTTCTTAACATGTTGTTTATGCACTAATACTTGTTTGTCTTTAATTTTAATTAGCACATTTGGAGCTTTCTTCCACTACTTCATAAGGTCCACTGTACAAAGGCTCCAATTTATTTCTGCACTCATTTTTTAATAACACCTTATCTCCTAACTTATAGCTAATATCATGAGCTTTACTATCTAACTTACATTTTCTATTTACCTTTGATGCCACTAAATTTTCTTTAGCTTCATTGCAAGCAATTTGTAACTTATACTTTTCAATTGATTTGGATAGTAATCAAAATTATACAGGGGTTCAATATCATATTCTAAATTTAAAGGTAATTGACATTTCTTTCCAAATACAAGTTCATATGGTGTAATCTTTGTTTTCGTATGAACAGTATTGTTAAAAGCAAAGCACCAAAACTGAATCCAAGAACTCCATGTATCTATATTATTAGACGCATGTATTCTTAGAACAGATCCTAAATTTTTATGGGTGTTCTCTAATGCTCCCAATGTTTGATGGTGATATGCTGTAGATTGCATTTGATTATTCTTAAGCATACTACAACAGTCTTTGAATACTGAAGCTAAGAATTCAGTTCCTTGGTCGGTTACTATTGCTTTCGGAATTCCGTACCTTAAGATAAAATTTTCAACAAATGATTTAGCCACTACAAACTTTGACAATTCACACTGGAATGTCAAAATGGCCACGATAGCCACGACATCTACGATTTTCTCTCCAATTACCTCTAAAATGAAAAATGTGGGGGTTTTGCCCTAAATTATTCCTACTTTCGTTAACCGCAACAGTTATAGCTTCCTTTAACGATGCACAGTTTCTAGCTTTGACAATTGTGAGGTATGCCCCCTTGAAAACCCGAAAATAATAGGTCTTTTTAAACTTTTTTTGCAATCAGACCAAAGAAGTTTTCTAAAAACGGGTTGCAGGGTGTGAATAAGCCACTTTTCTAGTTTTAAATACATATTTTATTTATTAACAGTTACGATTACTTTAGTAAACTCAAAAACTAGGGAACTACGTAGGATTTTAAATAAATATTCATTTTTGACGAAATGGTGACGATTTTACAAGAAATGTCGTATTTATCGATAAAAAACGTACATAAAAATGGTTGTAAAACGGAGAATCTGAGACATATCGAAAAACGGCTACGTACTTACCTAGAATAAGAAAATACAAACTTTTGAAAAAAAAATCTTGAAAATCCATTGAAAAATGTGGAAGTTATCATGTGCACAGATTTGAAAAATGTAGTTTCCAGAAAAACGCGTTTAAAGTTTTCGAATGTAAAAAATTGTATATTTTTTCTAGATACAATCTAATCACCGATTCCTGCACCATACAGCTGTCCTTCCTGAATCTTATTTTCATCTTCTGCAGCTTTTCTGTCTGACAGTAGGCTTCTACGAACTTCTTTAGCCTCAGTAGTCATGGAGCGCTCAGCGCGAGCAATGCGATTTAAATCCGTTTCATGACAAAAGTCGAAGCACGATCTTCCAATTGTTATTTCAGTGCTTGCATTATTTCCATAATGCTTGTAAGACCGTCATTAAAATTGCAAGCAGCTATATCAGACGCAATGTCAACCACTTTCTTGCCACTATGAATAGTTTTTGGTGCGATAGACCATAACGCGGCGTTGTAACTTTCATTGCTGTTTTGCGTATATCCCCCTAAACATCTTGTCAAAAGATCTTCCCTTGATAGTTCTTCGTACACAGGTTTCACTGCGTTGAAAACATCATTGCCGATTACTGGCTTGTGAGTGTACTCATCGATTTCTGACAAAGCGTACGCTTTTTGCCAGGAACACCACGAGTCAGCACCAATTGGACAATTAGCATGCTTTAGAGTTTCATCTGTTGAAATTTTATGATACAAAGTAGCCCAGATCTCTTTTTTCATGTCCTTCATGGAATCGCAATTTCTGCAAATAGCCAAATCCATAATATAAGGAAAGTTCATCAATTAATTTTCCTGTTAATTTTCCTTTGCCTCCTAATCCGCGAGTGTTTCTTTTTACATTTCGTAACCGTATGCCCATTCGTTTCTGAACGTGATCGACGCATTCTTTTTTGGTTGCTATTACACTGTCATAGGGCTGAGCGTCCATAATACCTTTGAAGGTTTTGCTGTCTCCGCCTCCTACGTAAAAACAGTACTTCAAATTATGTTTTTCTTCGGATCGTTGAAGCATCTCTACGACGGAGTCCACTTCCATTTTTCCTGAAGATCCGACATGGTTTATATTACATATTTCTTCATGATCTTCGACTCAATCTTGAAATTCCGCAGTATCTTCTTTACCTTTCCAGTAACTACACTTATTACAAATTTTTGACTTTATATTTGGAATTACCCCTTTGTTCGATAGAAGTCGGGTAAAGTTTTCTACGAAAATGAGTTTTTGTGATGCTATTGTTTATTCAGGTACTCGAAAGCCTACTTCAATAGCGTTTTTGAAAAATGATATTTTATGTTTTTTTTCACTTTTTTGTACAACAAGGTCAAAATACCTGCATATACAATGGATAAAAAATGAAACAAAAAGTGGTTACAGAAATCTTAGAATTTCCGGTGAGGTGTGTTACAAAAATCAATTTTTTAGGCAGAAAAACATTCCGCAAATGTTTTTTGTCATAAGGTTTTCAATTTCTGAACCAAAGTCGTTTAGTGATTTTGAGTTTTGACGCGCAATTTTAGAGAAAGTGTTGAGGCTGATTGTTTACTTAACAAATCAGTTTTTAGTTCCTTTAGTAGGTCTGCTACAGTATTATAACTTTCATTTAATTTAATTTTTACGTTCTGGGATAAACGGGTTTTGATGACATATCGAATTGAGTTTTACTTGGTTCATCGAGTGTATCAGAATAAAATTCAATGGCATCAATTAAATGTTTAGTTGTGTCCTCCTTGCCATCCATTACTGGTAGTAATGATGACAAAACATCAAAGTTCAAAGCAAATAGTTCACAAACACACAATAGTCACTTATTAGCAAAATTCCGATACCAAAATTAAGATTTGATTATATCCACATTGATTTGGTTGGTCCTCTCACTCCGTCCCTTGGCTGCACATACATATGTGCTCACCGTAATTCCACCGTTCTTCTCAAAAATATTAGTTCTACTTCTATTCCGAACACTTTGTTTCGGTATTATTTCGGCCGATTTAGCAATCCTAGCACTAACACCCATGATCAAGGGCGACAATTCGAATCAAAACTCTTTTCACAATTTTACACTCTTCTAGGAACACGTCAAATTCATACATCCACCTTGTATCCCTAAAGAAACGGAATTTTAGAAAGATTTCACCGGATATAGTCTCTTGTTTTTCTCTCGCTAAATTCTTACTCGTCCATTTAATATTTTTATATTAAATTTAGACTCACCTATGAAAATTACCATTTTCCATAAGTTAAAATCCTTATTTTGGCGTTTTTTGTGATAATACAACCCCTTTTTGTTTATTAATCCTACTTATCATTAATCCAGAAGGTTGTTTTTTCATCGTGCCATGTTAAAGGCGTTTCAAGCGTCCAACTTGATCAGAGCGACCATTGAATCGATATCTGTTAAAGGCTGATGTAAAACAATGTGCTGCATTAGTAACGTCCCAGTTTTTTTTTTTTTTTTTTTCAAAAATAAGCAGATAAGGTTCTCTATTTTATTTGTTTTAAACCAAACGGTCTTACAAAAAATATTGTTTAAAAGAACATAAAATGCTCTCTCATTCTAAAATCGGTCGAATACTCCAGGAAATATTAAAATGTAAAGATTAGAAAACGCATTGACAAAGTAAAGTTACAAAATAACCTCTAGGCGTTACATTTGTCGACATACATCCGCTCCGTACCCTTATTAGAAGAGCTGTATATATTTTTTTAAATTAATTTTTTGTATCAAAAAATAGGATGATGAAGAAGCTGGTGTAATCGAACATTTAAAATCGCAAGTTTGCGACAACATTGGGCTTTACGCACAAAAATATGATGAAGAATTCCAACAATATCTTCCCCAATTCGTAACGGATGTTTGGATTTTATTGGTTTCGACCAGTTTACAACCAAAATATGACCTTTTGGTTTCAAATGCTCTCCAATTTTTGTCATCCGTTGCCGAAAAAAATCATTATCGAAATTTATTTGAGGATAATAACGTTTTAAATGGAATTTGTGAGAAAGTTATTATACCCAACATGGAATTTAGGCGTAAACTTTTTTAAAATATTTCCTTATGTTTTTTGAATTAATTATTTTAATTTTTAATATTTAGAGTCAGATCAAGAACTTTTTGAAGATAACCCTGAAGAATACACAAGAAGAGACATTGAAGGTTCCGATATTTTTACAAGACGCCGCGCTGCTTGTGATTTAGTGAACACTTTGAGTCAAAATTTTGAAAGTAGAATCATGGAAATTTTCGGCCAATATCTTCAAGTAATAATTTACTCCTATTTCTATATATACATTTTTTAAATTCTATTTATCTTAGGTCATGATTCAAAAATATACGGAAAATCAACAAACAAACTGGAGAAGTAAAGATGCTGCATTATACCTAGTTACATCATTAATAAGTCGTGGTCAAACTCAAAAACACGGAGTTACACAAACGAGTCAGTTAGTTTCAGTTCCTCAATTTTTTCAACAGCACATCGTCTCTGAATTGGAAAGACAAGATGTTAATGAGTTGCCAGTTTTAAAGGCAGACGCGATCAAATATGTTATGACTTTTAGGTCAATACTTCCAAAAGAAATGGTCATTGGAACTTTACCTCAGTTAGTTAGACATTTAACATCAGAGAGTGCTGTTATTCATACTTATGCTGCATGTACTATTGAAAAAATTTTGGTTATGAAGGATAATAATAATATGCCAATGTAAGTAATAAGTTATTAATTTCTTTAACGAAAGTTTGCTATTTAACTGATTTATGCCCAGAACATATTTCTTTTTATTTCAGAAAAAATTTTGAAAATAGTATGTTTTTTTTATTTATGTTGTTAACAAGTTGGACCAATTTTTATTAAAAATATAAACTAAAATATAATATAGTTACACAATGTGAACTAAACTTACTAGGTCTGTTATAGTATTTGCATCTGTGTCAGCATCATAATTATCAGGCATTATTATCGCATCTGAAATTATATTCTCCTCTTGGAACTTTTTATCTTCTTTCTTCAACTTAGCATTAAAAAAAACTAACGATCATATTTTCCTATATTTGAAAAATAAACAAAAAGAAAATTATTAATAGTGTTTGTACACCATTACTTCAGCAGAATCTGATATCTCTGTATGGTTTAAACCCCCAAGCAGCAGTTTCTATGAAGATACATCTTCAGCCATGTAAGGAGAAAAGTAAAACAAATTACACCTTATATGTTAGTGTTGTCTGGAATGTTACGTCTGATGGTTTTCGCGTATTATGTTAATCAATTATAACAAACATGCAAGAGCCTCCAGTACTTCCTAAGCTCAGATAAAGTTGAAGGGGTATCTAAACAGCAACTTAGACCTACTACCGGCCAAACTCTTTGGCAGTTAACTCGTTTGGTATGATAAATTTCTTCCGCCACGTTTACCATGTAGTGACTCTTAACACGGGAAACTAGAGTACTAAAAGACGCGGGAACCAGTCATTGCCAATTGACTCGGCATCGCTACTTTTGTTTTCTGGTGGTCCCATCACGTGAGGTTGGATTTGTATACTGATTTTTCTTTAGTCACCATTATCTCGTCGTGTTGTGGTGTACCTTTTAAATATGACACGAGTTGTTTTAACAATCTATATTTGTCATCACGTTGCTGGTGCTGAAATTTTAGTTCGTAAATATAGAGATGGACATCAAGAAGGAGGAGAGGAGATGGATGTTTCTACAAATGGTATTGTGTAAAGGTCGCCATAGAAAAATGGTGTTGGTGACATGGACATTCGTTTGAAGTCTGAGATTGCGGTGTGGATGTTGGATCTTGAACAGATTAATTTACAGTCGTATAAAAATTCCCTCTTTAAGTTTTGCCTCGGTTATATATATATGCCTCGCTTACGCCATCATCAGAGACATTAGAAATATAGATTAGATATACATATAGATTAGTCTCTTTTATGTATCCATCCCATTAGTGCCCGCCAATCCAAGTTTTATAGTATTGTTTTATATTTTAACGTGCAAATTTTAACTTTTAACGTGAGTTTTAATGAGTTCATATTTATAATTTTATCTTGTATACCTTTGTGGAGTCGTTGACATGAACAACTAAATGGAAAATAAGTTGCTAAAATCTAATATATATTTCTAATGTCTCTGATGATGGCGTAAGCCGAAACCGGTTAGACAATAAATTGAACAAGACCAGAAAAAGTATTGCTTTTTATTGAATTTATATTATATAAAAAAAATAACTGGTCAACATGGATCAAACTCAATTAGATGAGACTAATTGTCTTAGCTGCCAAGCTGGCTCTTCCACTAAATAACGCATTTACAATAGTATATATTTGATTTGAATAAAATGTTAATGTTTATTTCTTTTGAATGAATGCCTTAGCTTTCTAATTGCACTGAATAATATGTATTGAACCCTGCTTTTTCACTATCTCAGCAACATGCAACTAGGTTCAGAAATTGAAATCAAAAATTGTTTGAAAACGACGATAAACTTCAATATGAAGTAAGGCAGTATTTTAAGAATGTATCACCTTTTACAAAGAAGGTTTACAGAATATTGTGCCTATAAGTTTGTGGGATAAGTACCTTAACATTGGGGGTTATGTTGAAAAATAGCTAACGGTTCACGCTTTTACTTAGTGTATGTTTAATTTCTATGAATAAAGTAGTCTGTTTGTAATCCACAAATGAACCTTAAAAACTGGACATCTGTTGTATCTCCTAGTTCTCTTTTTTTGCAATATTATTAAAGATTGCCAAAACATGTTGCTTAACAGTGTCGAATATTTTTTCGAAATAAGAAAGATTTTCCTTTATATTTCGTTTTTTTTAGCAATATTTCCATTCCACTTGCTCGTTTCGTGGCAACTTGTTTTTTCACAACTGTTTGATTCTGTTCACCTTCATCACTTTCAGAATCACTTTGGTCTAGTGCTGAAATTTTAGTTCTTCAGTCCTCCACATTTACAGGTGTTGCAACGAAGCGGGTAAAATATGAACTGTTCATTGTCGTGCAAAACCGATTTAGTTATCCCTTTTTTGCACTAAATCCAATAAGTAGGTATCTATAAGTGTTTCACTTAAAACTCCCAGGCCAAGTATCTCTGGAATGGTTTGAGATATTGTAGTTTTGTAAGAAGTTGTTGATTGAGTTCGTAATCTTCAGTTCTTAAGTATTGTTATTATTCATTGTACAAAAATGAAGATGGCGCTGCAGTGAAAAGAAACTTTTTCTTCATCACAAACTTTTTATTAGGTGCATGTGATAGAGCATCTAAAACTGTGCAATTTTCCTTATCAACATTGATTTGAACATTGAATTTAGTATTAATACTGAGACTGTTAAGAAGAAAAGTTAAATATGATTTTAATTTATGGTGAATGTCGTCGAAATTCTTCGGAAGTGGTACGATTATAAATTACCGAAAACGTTCATAAATTTATCCACAAATCTTACCAATTTTGGAACATTTAAGAAACAGAAACGACAGAGAGAAAAACGAGTTTGAGATGATGAAAACTGCAATGGTCTTGCAAATAATAAATGACAACTCGCATAAATCGTCGCAAATTTCTGTTACATGTCATTGAATTTAAAAAACAAATACATTTTTGCCGTATAAGTGCAATTTTGTTCATCATTTACAACCAGACGACAAAATCCGTTGAGTTCAGTTCTTGACTGAATTTTCAGTTTTGGCATAAAGAGACAACTTTATGGCAAATGAATCAACAACTCACCGTGGCCTGGAGTTTATGCAGAACAACCTTTCTGAACTGCTGAATGTTTTGCTGGACGCATTAAAAAGATCGACGTAGTTTCAACAAGATGGTACACCTCCACATAACGCACAGATAGTGACTCAGTACTTCCGCAAGTTTCCAGGACGATGGATTGGTACAAATAGTGCTGTGAAAGTATTTAATGTTGAATTGGTAAGGCGATTCGAATTGTGCATGCATGAAAATGGAAGTAAATTTGCAGTTATTATACGTTTCTTTTTGTTGTTCCAATTATTATTATGGTGAAAAATTTATTTGGTAACCTAAAATGTAATTCTGTTACTTAATTTTGTTAACGTTTTGTTATTTATGTTAAAAAATAAAGTTGTGGCTTGGTTGTGACCACCTTGTTGGTTTTTATGAATAATTTTATTTCAATTCTTTTCTTCTTTAATGTTAAATATCTTCGAATCTACTAAGTTTTGAAATCAATGTTAATAAGGAAAGTTACACAGTTTTAGATGCTCTATTACATGCAAAAGAAAAGTTTCTTTTCACTGCAACGCCATCTTCATTTTTGTACAATGAATAACAACAATACTTAAGAACTGAACAACTGACTCTAACAACAATTTCTTACAAAACTAAGATATCTCAACCCATTTCAGAGATACTTAGTTTGGGAGTTTTAAGTGAAATATATTCATTCTATTTCCCTTATGAGTTAATATTGGTACCTCGTTTTTGCTCCAATCAATACAGGTATCTTCAATTATACTAATTCATCAACATTTTCACTTGCTTTAAAATCCTTTTCTTGCTAAACATAGATGATTAAATGACGAAATGATTCAATGATTGAAATTTGCATCATTATATGGAATTTTTTTTGCTTCGTTCATCAACGCTCCAATAATTTAAGTATGAATTTGATTCCACACAGATAACAATTATATTAATGCTCTTGCAGTTTCTTAAAATGACAATGATAAAAATTAATAACAAAATGCGTTGGGCATAAACAGGTTAAATAAATAATGTTAATGCATTTTTTTCTAGTATTTAAGCAATAACGAGCAAAATTTGTATTTTATTTTTAATTTCTTCTTAATTGTTTTTTTTTTATTTCAGTGTTAACTCAAATGATTTCTCCGGATTGGCTAATGATGCTCTGTCAAATTTATTTGCTGTATTAGATAGGCCTGTTTCTGAAGAAAATGAATATGTCATGAAAGGTGAATATATTTAAATTACAGATTGATTATGAGATATCTAACAAAAAGAATCTTTGTATCCTTCAAACCAAATTTTCTTTATATTTTAGCAATAATGCGTACATTCTCCACATTAAAAGACAAAGTTGTGCCATACTTAGGAGTAGCTTTACCTAAATTAACAGAAAAACTACAAGCGGTTTGCAAGAATCCATCAAAACCACATTTCAATCATTACTTATTCGAAACGTTCTCACTGGCAATACGGTAAAAAATTTTGAAATTACCACTGAGTAATTTAATCTTAATTAATTTTGTTAATAATTATATATTAGAATTGTATGCACTGGAAATCCAACAGCTGTGTCATCATTTGAAGACGTCTTATTCCCAATCTTTCAAGGAATTCTTCAACAAGATATTCAAGGTGAGTATTAAATTTTTATTTAAAAAGAAACATTAAATAATTTTTGTTTATTATAGAATTTATACCATATGTGTTTCAATTACTTTCATTATTAATGGAACTAACTCCACCCGGTGCTATCCCCGATCCATACATGCAATTATTGCCCCATTTGTTGGCTCCCGTTTTATGGGAACGTCCTGCAAATATCAGTCCGTTGGTGCGATTATTGAGCGCGTTTTCTGTGCAGGCTGCACCACAAATCGTTGCCCAAGATAAATTGGTATTCATTATGTTCTTTATAAATTAGGTTTTTATATATTTTTGTGTTATTTCAGAGTGGGTTCTTAGGTGTTTTTCAAAAATTAATAGCTTCGAAATCTAACGATCATGAAGGGTTTCATTTATTACAGAATATAGTACTTCATGTTCCAACGTATGTATTTAATAAAATCTCTTTGAGTGTATTTTAATATAAACTATTTCTTTATTAGGGAAGCTTTAGTTCCCTTCCAAAAACAAATATTCTTCTTACTCTTTCAACGTTTATCATCGAGTAAAACCACAAAATATGTTATAAATTTAATTGGTTTCTTCTGTTTGTTTATGGTGAAACACTCCCCAAGCGAATTGGTTGTGATTATTGATGGGATTCAAGCGCAGTAAGTAATAAAATGGTTTCGTTTATATTTAGTTGTAATTTTTAATTATTATTTTTAAAGAATGTTTGGAATGGTGTTAGAAAAACTATTTATAACTGAACTACAAAAAGTTTCCGGTGTTATTGAACGAAAAGTAGTCGCATGTGGTATAATAAAATTACTTTGCGAATGTCCACAAATGTATACAGGATCGTACGAGAAATATTGGCCCCAATTACTGCAGGCTTTAATATGTTTCTTTGAAATGCCCCGAGATGAAAGCACATTTCCTGATGATCATTTTATTGAACTCGATGATACCCCAACGTTTCAAACTGCTAGTGCTAAATTAAATTTTGCTAATAATGCTAAATTAGATCCTTTACAAGGTAAATTTTTAAAATGACATAATTTATTGAATTAAAATTTTTATTTATTTTTTTAGCTATTTCTGAACCAAGACAATTTTTAGCGCAAAGTTTGGGTACTTTGGGCTCTTCTCAACCCGGGCGATTACCTGTTCTTGTTAATTCCATTAATAAGCAATCCTTAACTATTTTAGAAGGTTATCTCACAAAATTTAGTGTTCAACTTGTTTAAAAAAAAGTTTTTGTTTTGAGTTTTTTGTTTATTATATGTTGCCTAAGACTGGAGTAATTGTTTTTAAAACAGTCATTTCATATCTATTTAATATGTACTAATGTTGATAAGAAAATACATGTAATTAATTAGTTTTCTATCTAATAAAGGATTATTTAAAAAAAATAATGCCAAAACAAAACCTCCAACCAAACGAAAAAGGGCATATTTATTAATTTACAAGAGCATTAATCTAAAACATTTTAATCAAATAAGCAAGATTCCAATTTTGTTACACCTCAAAGTATCATCCACTGGTCCTAAATATACTGATTAATGAATCCTTAACAAACAGTCGGACGAATCTACAGTTGACCCTTGGCATGAAGCAGCGGACACAAACATGCAACATTAGAACCCTCCTGGATGCGACACAGTTGGCTCAAATTGCAAAGGAAATGGAGGCCTATAAGCTCTTTATACTAGGACTTAGTGAAGTCAGATAGCCTGGACCCTAATCTACTCAAGAAATGAAGAAGGAGAAAACCAATGCAACGGAGTTGGTATGTTGATGAGTGAACATTCAAGAAGAAGTGTGATAGACCCCAATATCTGGCAGAACAATTCTAGCGCACTTTCGCACAAACTTGAGAAAACTGAGCTTGATACAATGCTACGCGCAGACCGACCAATCTGAGGAAGAAGGAAAGGAAAATTTCTACAACGTACTCATACAAACAATAAAGAAAGGTGCTACAACTCTGGTAATGGGTGACCTGAACACAAAGGTGGGACAAGAGAATATTGGCTTGGAGAACATCATGAAAAAACAAGGCCTGGGAAATAGCTACAACAACGACTTCTGCGTAGACTTCGTAGACTTCTGCGTGAACAACGACTTAGCAATTGGAGGAATACTCCTCCCACACAACACACTAAATAACTTGAATCTCACTATATGGCAGAACACAAAACCAAATACATCATATAACGATAAGCAGAGTGGCGAAGCTCATACCCGATGTGCAAATTAAAAGGGTGCAGTGATCATTGTTGATCGCAGATATCCGATTGAAGATAGCAACAAGCAGAGGCCAATACAACAGGTTAAAAGATTATAAAGGAACAAAACACAAACAACAACCGAAAGAGGGAAACAGAAATAGAAACATAATTGAGAATCACAATCAACATAATGGAAACAAGTAAAAGCAACTGCTCTACTAGGGGGGGAGGAGAGAACTGAATAAGGAACGCATAACACATGAAGGTTGATATAGTTGAGAAAAAAACATGAAGCAGAGATTCAACCAAACAGATGACATAATCGTGAAAAGGCAACTCAACGCAAAATACCAGAATCTAAAAGAAGATAGGGGTAAAGAGATCAGATAGAAGATACAAGAGACAGTGTGTCGTCCGGCTTATGAAACAAGCAGAGGAAGCAGGTGAAAAGAAAAATATGAGGGATATGTACAGAGTAACTAAACAGCTAACAAATAAAAGCAACACCTACAATAAACCAATAAAAGACAATAAGGGTATCATTATAACAGCAGTAGTACGAATAAACGTACCAGAGTTACGAATAAACACTAATGCTTAGAGCAGACACACCCACAATAACCACACAACTACAACCGATACTCGAAAAAGTGGAATAAGGAAATTATACCGAAGAGTTGGAAATAAAGCACAATTATCAAACTTTCCAAAAAAGAGACTTAAGTAAATGCTATAACTGGCAGCAAATCTTAAGAAGTAGGTTAGAAGTAGTCATAGAGCCTAACCTAAGGAGAAAATAAGCAGGAATCGCAAGAATGGAGATCCCGCTATACTTGTTAACTTTAAAAAAACCTTTGACTCACTGAAGTATGCTGCAGTATGGATAATTTTGGGAAAGATAGGAATCCCGACGAAAATCGTTGACATAGCGCAAAAAGCAAGGTGCTGCTAGGGGCAAGTTTTGTAACCAATAAGTCAAGACGGGAGTAAAGCAATGATGTCCGCTTTCACCCCTATTATTCAATATTGTACTAGTTTGGGTTTTGAAAAAATGCAGATTTTTCAGACGTCATATACTAATAATATATTTCGAATAAAATGGTCAGTTTTTGTACCAAAAGAAGATCTACAACAGGCGAAACTAGAGGAAATTCAACTAGAGATAAGGTAACGCAAAAGAAAGTGACAACAATGTCGCGAAACTGGAATCCACATGGTATCCGGCTAAGAGGAAGGTCCATGACAATATGGTGGAGGAGTATGGTGTGGGAGTTGGACGGACAGGGAAAATATAGGGCGAACTAAAGCTGATGGCACGGAGCAGAGGTCAATGGAGGATGTTTGTCGAGGTTCTATGCTACAGACAGGGAGTTAGAGGATTTAATATAACAATAAGTTCATCAACGTTAACGCTAAGGATTCTTTTCCAGGGTTGCTCTTATTTAGAGACCCTATTTTCCAGGAGTACAAGTAGTTTATTTTGGCAAGAAGTTCCTAGTTTATTAACTGCACCCATAAATGGTTGACCATCTTTTAAAAAAAATACATAAAAAGGAATATACGTGACAAATGGCGAGTATTTTACAGGGAGTATATACAGGGGAGTACTGAAAAATGGACTATGGCGCACAAGACATAATTTCGTGCTCTATTCAGCATATAAAAAGCCTGATATTGCCTTTATAAAAATCAGTCGTTCCAGACAATAACAAACGATGATACCCCCAAAAAAATATCAAATCAAACTCCCGTCGGAACAAGGCATAGAGGCGACCCAAAACAAGATAGTTGGATCAGGTGTAGGACGACACCTAAGGCGTTGACATCGGTAATTGGAGAAGAATGTCTTGTAACAGATCGGCATGGCGGAAGATGCTGGAATAGGCAGACCCACAGATGGTGACCCTCGGTTTTTTGATGATGAGTTAGTTTCTTATTTAATTCTTTAAACATCAAGATACAAGGTGATTCTCAAGCTATACGTATAAATTTGGGCTTTTATTCCTCGAGACAAATAATGGGTAACAGGTGAAAAAAAAATTAGTGAAAGTTTTTTCGTTTCATCGATATCAGATATATGCGGTGGCAAATACATAAGGATTCCGAAATCAGATACAAACTGCTGCCGAGACAAACTATCTCATCTGTTTAGAACTGATACCACCACACTTATTTCATGTTCTGCAAAAAAATGTTTACATACATTTGAGTCTGCTGTTTGCTCACGTCCTTCTGATTGCAAGAGTTGCCTAGACAAATAATGTATGGCAAAATTTAGTAATTCACATAATGTTGAGAACAAGATCAGAACAACAATCAGATAGAACTCCGGCGAAAAAACGTCATGCGGCCTTCATCTGTTTCGTTGATCTAACTATTCTAACCAAAACGTTCGAGAAAGTAAGGATAAAAGAATGAGAACAGGGCAAACATTACAAAGCATGTAATGTCAAGATTGACTGCTATGCAGATGATGCCGTCCTCTTGGCTGACACTGAAGATGGCATACAGTGGTTAATACAGGCATTTAACATTGCAGCTGAGGAAGTGAATAGTGAGCAAGGATTGCGAAATCAGATAAAAACTGCTACCGTGACAACAGCATGGTTTAGGCCGCGCTAGTGTATAGAAGATATTGGAAACAACTTGGAACACTTGCTTTGATGTCATTTTAAAATCTTATATGTATTCATTTGAAAGTAAATATCATGGATATCTAGGAAACTTTTGCTACAATTTTCTTCACCTATTTTATTAGTCATTATTTGTCATAAGGAATAAATCCCCAAGTATATGCGTATAGGCATACGTAAAACAAAAAGTGCCTCATAGACCAAACCCTGTATCTACACAATATTGGAGACACGTGTAGGGACCAAAGATGGTTTTATAAGTTCAAAGTTTCTAAAGCTGTTTGGCTTATCTACATCATCATGCTTTGGCTCTAGAGCTCGTTGTGAACCTTGGATCCTAAATATACGATTAAACATCTTCATCTTGTCATCCCTAACTTCCAAATTTTCTGGTATGTTTTCAAAGCCAGAGTTTGACACTATATGACCGTATACTTGTCTACTCATTCACCTTATTTTCTGTTCTCCAAATAATATCTGTTATCAGCAAAAGCCAAGATCTGCGTTGACTTGTTAAATACGATTCCAACGTTCAAACTCCTGCATCTGGTTCTACCTTTTCCAGGGCAATATTAAAAAGCAGATATAGCAGCCCATCTCCCTGTCGCAAATTTTCGTGGCTTGTTAATGTTCTCTTAATAGATCTTGTGTTCTGACTTTACAGAAAACCTTTCTGAGACTTAAAAGTGGTCATATACTACATTGTGTTAATTATCGTACCTGACGTCATCATTATAAGTATGCAACCAATATCACAGTATTGGTATTGCAATACGCGATTTACGTATTCAGTGTGATATTGGTTGCATACTTGCAATAATGACGTCGGGTATTATAATTAATTAACACACTGTATATGTGGATTTAGCGAATATTGCAGGATCAGAACCCCACAAACATGTCCCTATCAAATCTGGTTCGGTCCTGATAGAGTTAATAAAGGTTTATTTAAAAAATGAGACCAGACTCCAACCTAGCAAAAAAAATCATGTTTATTCATTTTAAAAGAAAATTAAATTATAAAATATTTTAATTAATCAAATGAGCAAGGTTCCAATTTTGTTGAACCTCAATAGGACCATCAACATTAACCCCATCCGGTGTGATAATAGCCAATTGATATTTGGGAAAACTCCTTGCGTCGCGGTAGAACAAAACTTCCATACATTTATGTATAAGTTGTCTTGCATCTTGTTCAGTTGGGTTAGGATTCTTTTCCAGGGCAGCTCTTAAAATGGGGAGAGCCATGTAAGCTCCATAACCAGTGCAAATAGTTTTATCTTGGTAAGAAGTTCCTAGTTTATCAACTGTACCCAAAAATGGTTGACCATCCTATTAAAAAATTAAAAGATTAAAAATAAAAAAAAAATAATAATGTGGAATTACTTGAAGTCCCCCAACAACGAAATTATTCCAGAATGGATCAAATTTACTTCTTCTGTTGTATAAAATTCTCGTTAACCAACAATAAAGAGAATTTGGTTTTAATGTGAATCCATCATCCAAACATTGCTCATCAATTCTAAACAAAAACTTATTTTTAATTTCTCTAAACCATAAATTGATTAAAACCTTACATTTTTTGATCAATAAAATCCTTAACATACTGAAAATCACCATAATCTCCACCAGCTCCCAAAATAATATTTTTATTAACTTTCATAACCCTTGGACAATTACGATATCTAGCTAAAGATCCGTATGAACCCAAAAGATCACCGGCGATTATCACCCCCTTATCAAAAACCATCGAAATGATCGATGTGGCTGTAGTAACCGGGGCTCTAAGAAATATAAAGAAAAATTATGATGAAGCAAATTTATGAAATTTTGAGGTTAACTTACTTAGAGCGTGTGAAATAATCCCCATTTCCGGCTGCATTTCCCGGAAAATGGTGAATAGCCCCCGGCGCGGGACCATTTTGCCAAAAAGAGGGCGCCGAAAACGAATCGGAATTGAAAAACATAATTTTAATTAAGTTGCAGAATGACAAGTAACTTTGAAAACGTCGGTTTTGTATGTTGATTTTGACGTAACTAATTTCATATCAATACCAACTAAATTCCTTTAACCTTTTAATTTCGCTTTTCTTAAATAATTGATTAAAATATTGATAATAACTTAATTAAAATTGAAATAATTATTAATATATACATTAATATTTTTGTTATTGTAAGTATGGATTAAATAAGCAGAAATAAAGATAAGTATGAATATAGCAACTTATTACAGTGACACTTAATAAATAAAAAAGCTTTGTTTAGGTTATGTTTACAAGAATTAAATAAAATTTAAATAATATATTAAAATAATTGGTTATGGCTGATCCCGGTTCTTCAACATGTACGTTTATGTTTAAAAAGCGTAACATAAAATCTCGCGAAGCTAGAAAACGTAAAAACTCTTCATCAGAAAACGGTAATTTTTTTATAGGTTATGTTTACGTTTATAATATTTCTTAAAATTTTGTTCTATTGAATAGATAAAAGTGAAGAAGAAGAGAGTAGTAATGTAATTAAAAGAGGTCATAGAAAAATCAAGGCTAATCCTAACGTTCAAAGTACTGCAAGACTGAAACAGAAAGCCGGAGGTGGTAACGATACTACTAGTAGTAGTAGTGAAGAAGATGTGGTTACTGTTAATTATAAATCTAAGAAAAGTGTTATGCCAGAAGGGCCGAATGATCAAGGTGCAACAGCTACATTGGTAAGTAAATAATTATTAATATAAATATGTAATTGACTTAATAATTGATTGAAAATAAAGTATAAGAATCACCATGTTGTTTAAAAATCGACAATTTTTTTTTAATCGACGGGAAATCACTCAAGCCATTACAAATTAATCAAAAAGTGTAAAACTTATCGAAAAATTATTTTAAAGTTTCGACGTGACGTCACTTTTTATGACGTCATCGACCGTGCTAATCATAATCATATATTTTCGCAGCACATTTGGTTAAAACGCATATTTTCGGGTGAAATACGGTGTTCTTGGGTTTTAACTATATAACTTAAAATATATACCTGATTCCCTACCCCCCTCTTTAACTTATTGGTTCCTGAATGCTAGATACTGTTGGCAAAAGACTAATTATTGCTATCAGAAAATTAAATACTGCTAGTAAAAGACTAAAAATTGCTTGGAAAGAGGAAATACTATTTCAAAAGGTTACCTACTGCTTCTAAAATGTTAGATACTGCAGGAAAAGACCACAACTTACTTGGAAAAGATTAGATACTGTTTTCAAAATAATACCTATTGCTTCCAGAACATTAAACACTGCTGTTAAAGGTTTTGACCTACTTGGCGAGGCGGAATACTGCTTCCAAGACCACTTATTGCTTTCAAAGACTTTAATAATTATTTGGAAAAGAGATATGCTTTCCAGAATGCTACCTACCGGTTCCAGAATGTTAGATACTGCTGGAAAAGTCTAATAACTGCTTGGAAAGAAGAGATATGCTTCCTAATGCTTCCAAAATGCTAGATACTGGTGGAAATGATTAGAATCTGCTTGGAGAAGACTAGATAGTGGTAACAAACAACTACAAATTGTTGGAAAGACGAGATACTGCTTCCATAAGACTACTTACTGCTTTCAGAGCGCTATATACTACTAGACAAGATTACAACCTGCTTGGAGACGACTAAATACTACTGGGAGAAACTATTGTTTGCTTGGAAAGACAAATACTGGTTTCAAAAGACTATTAAGTACTTTCAGAATGCTAAATATTATTGGAAAGACTACAAATTGCTTTAAGAAAGGTAGATATTGTTGACAAAGACTATTTAATGCTTTCAGAAGACTTTATAGTACTGCCAAACCACTAATAATAATAATAAATTTATTGCCATAATAAAAAAATATCCAAATTAAAGAAAATGTATACATTTAACTACTTAATGTATAAATATAGACAAAAGGGATATCTTCCAAAGGACCCAATTAATCAGCCGTATACTGCATATACTAAAAAAAACAACAATAAATAAATGGCAAGCTGCTATGTTACCATAGGTTTATTGTCACTAAAACGGTGCATAATGTTAGTTGCTAGAATAAAAGAAGAAGAGAAGAATAAGAAGAGAAGTAAAAGAAGAAGAAAAGGAAGAAGAAGGAAAAGAAGAAGTTCTCAGGAAGATACTTGGAGAGCAAATAAATGACGTTTTAGATGGTTTTTAAATGCCATAAAGTGAGGAATATTGCGAATCTCAGTAGGCAGATTATTCCAAAGGGTTATGGCCTGCACAGTAAACGATTTGTGGTAAATCTCAGTATTATGGGTCGGGAACATAAGCAGAGAATCTAACTGATATCTAGTGGGTAAACCATGCGACGACAAGCGTTGAAATATACAGTACAGATACCCTGGTGTTTGATTGTGAAGAACAGTACACAGGTGTTTCAGAGTTTTGTAGCAGACTTTAACAGTCCATTGGTTTTTTTTTAAATTAACACAAAAACTTCATATAAACATAGGTCGACAAACGCTGGGTGTTCAAATTAAATTTTTAAATTGTATTTTATCTAATATTACACGTGTATTTCAACCGATTCTTTTCAAATTTGATATACGGAGGTTTTTTGGCTTGAGAAAGACGATTATAGTGTCTGTTTTACTATAGTCGGTAGAGGGCGCTCTTCTTTACGGATTAAAATAACAAAAACTTTTCTGACAGTATTCTTTTTGGCTTTTTGAATAAAAATTCTGATTCTCGGTACTTTTTTAAGCAAAAAGGGTACTCTTATCAAAATACGCTAAAGTTTATCGTTTTCAAGATAATCCGCTTTTTATTATTCGATACAGACCAATATTTTTAGAGGATAGTTAAAGTTAAAGGTAAATTAACTAATGTTTCAGTTTATTCATGTTTTTTAATCTAAATGATAAAAAAATTAAAGAAATTGTTGAAAATGTAAAAAAATTTGGTTGCATAATTCTGACCGACGAATTACTGATCGAGTAATGGTATTTAACGGCCTTATGTCATTACAAGCATTCCTAATCCTATTAAAAGTTCATCCCTTGTGGGAACAGGTGTCTCATACAATTTTCCTTTCAAATATCTCCACACAAAAAACGCATTAAGATCTGCAGATCATGGGGCCATTGTTTAGCCAATTTCTTATCACCCTACCGTGATAAGTTGCAAAATCATCAAGTTGAAACCAGGCCTTTCTTCTTAAAGCTAAATCAATATCATCCCACATATTGGCATGTTCAGTTACTAAAAATTACAAGAATGCCGCAGCGGTTAGTTGTGGTGGCAAAAAGTATGGCCCGAAGAGATGATTATTATTGTGAAAGTTTACAATCCCACGTCTTATGAAACACGATTCAACATTCCACATTACATTATTTAAAAAATCTCTATTGTTGGCTGATGCTTTAGCAATCCACCGTCAAACCGTTACACGCCGTTCTTCATCGCCTGGTTGCAATCCAATCCTTGCAAGGGTTTTAAATGATAAGCATGTCTATGATCATGTTTTAAAAGGCGATAAACACGCGCCCTAGAAATTCATAAGGCATTCGAAATTCTTCTAACACTCGTAGTGGGGTCTCCGTCGAACTCACGCAAAATTCTTCTTCTAAAGTTTCTTTGCAGTCCAACATTGTCATTATTACGATCTACCCGTCATTATTTATTCCTTGTTCAACTATTTGTCTATGCACTATCACAAACACAGAAGGATGCGGATATCTTCTATTTGGATATCTCGTATACTCTAGGGCTACTTCTGCTGAATTTCCGTTTGCAAACACATAAACTACAAAAAGCAAACAAAAAATTAAAAAATAAAAAATAAACAATTTAACACGATTAGGAAAAAGAGTAATGAATTTAGCACATTAATAAACAAGAAAATTGAATTTAACACGTTAACGAATAAGAAAAATTAATTTAACACTGATCAACAACTACTGGTGATTTGACACTTGATACAATAAACTAAAACATTAGTGAACTCTTTAACAATCCTCTAAAAAAATTGGTCTATATCGAATAATAAAAAGCTTATTATCTTGAAAACGATCAACTTTTGTGCGAATTTCTCAAATGTCGGGTTGGGCATGNTATTCCAAAGGGTTATGGCCTGCACAGTAAACGATTTGTGGTAAATCTCAGTATTATGGGTCGGGAACATAAGCAGAGAATCTAACTGATATCTAGTGGGTAAACTATGCGACGACAAGCGTTGAAATATACAGTACAGATACCCTGGTGTTTGATTGTGAAGAACAGTACACAGGTGTTTCAGAGTTTTGTAGCAGACTTTAACAGTCCATTGGTTTTTTTTTAAATTAACACAAAAACTTCATATAAACATAGGTCGACAAACGCTGGGTGTTCAAATTAAATTTTTAAATTGTATTTTATCTAATATTACACGTGTATTTCAACCGATTCTTTTCAAATTTGATATACGGAGGTTTTTTGGCTTGAGAAAGACGATTATAGTGTCTGTTTTACTATAGTCGGTAGAGGGCGCTCTTCTTTACGGATTAAAATAACAAAAACTTTTCTGACAGTATTCTTTTTGGCTTTTTGAATAAAAATTCTGATTCTCGGTACTTTTTTAAGCAAAAAGGGTACTCTTATCAAAATACGCTAAAGTTTATCGTTTTCAAGATAATCCGCTTTTTATTATTCGATACAGACCAATATTTTTAGAGGATAGTTAAAGTTAAAGGTAAATTAACTAATGTTTCAGTTTATTCATGTTTTTTAATCTAAATGATAAAAAAATTAAAGAAATTGTTGAAAATGTAAAAAAATTTGGTTGCATAATTCTGACCGACGAATTACTGATCGAGTAATGGTATTTAACGGCCTTATGTCATTACAAGCATTCCTAATCCTATTAAAAGTTCATCTCTTGTGGGAACAGGTGTCTCATACAATTTTCCTTTCAAATATCTCCACACAAAAAAAAGCATTAAGATCTGCAGATCATGGGGCCATGCGACTGGTCCACCACGACCAATCCATCTTGCGGAAAATGGTTGTTTAGCCAATTTCTTACCACCCTACCGTGATAAGTTGCAAAATCATCAAGTTGAAACCAGGCCAAAGCTAAATCAATATCATCCCACATATTGGCATGTTCAGCTACTAAAAATTACAAGAACGCCGCAGCGGTTAGTTGTGGTGGCAAAAAGTATGACCCGAAAAGATGATTATTATAAACACCTACCCAGACGTTGACACTAAATTCATGTTGGAAGTATCGTGGTCGAATTGCGTAGGGATATCAAAACATGTAAATTGTGAAAGTTTACAATCCCATGTCTTGTGAAACACGATTCATCGTTCCACATTACATTATTTAAAAAATGTCTATTGTTGGCTGATGCTTTAGCAATCCACCGGTAAAACGTTACACGCCGTTTTTCATCGCCTGGTTACAATCCGTGCAAGGGTTTTAAATGATGAGCATGTCTATGATCATGCTTTAAAAGGCGATAAACACGCGCCCTAGAAATTCATAAGGCATTCGAAACTCTTTTAACACTCGTAGTGGGGTCTCCGTCGAACTCACGCAAAATTCTTCTTCTAAAGTTTCTTTGCAGTCCAACATTGTCATTATTACGATCTATCCGTCATTATTTATTCCTTGTTCAACTATTTGTCTATGCACTATCACAAACGCAGAAGGATGCGGATATCTTCTATTTGGATATCTCCTATACTCTAGGGCTACTTCTGCTGAATTTCCGTTAGCAAACACATAAACTAAATGAATATCCTCTAACTCTTGGTTAAGAAAAATAAACGGCATTTTATAACATTTTTATGCAGCAAACAAAAAATTAAAAAAAAACAATTTAACACGATTAGGAAAAACAGTAATGAATTTAGCACGTTAATAAACAAGAAAATTGAATTTAATACGAATTCATATCGAATAATAAAAAGCGGATTATCTTGAAAACGATCAACTTTAGTGCGAATTTCTCAAATGTCGGGTTGGGCATGGAGCAGAAGGTGAGTTATAAATTCCGGGTTAGGTTAAACTCGATACTTTCTAGTTCTAGGTCTAGTGTTAGTTCCAGTTTTACACTAGCACTATCACTAAAACTAACAAAAGACTTAGAACTAGAATCATTCATGTTTAGCTGTCTTGAGAGACGTGCCACTAATTCTGAATGTTTCTAGTTCTAGGTCTAGTGTTAGCTCTACTATTATTGATACACAGTCTATCGAACGACAGGTAGTCAGTCGTTATGCATCGAAAGCCCAAAAAAAGCAAGGGTGTTTCATCCGAAAATATAAGTTATAATCTCACGTAGTTTAGTGAAAATAACTTTACTTTTAAGTTTATCATATTGATTTTGTGTGTGGCTATAAAATAAACAATTTGGAGGTGTTGACCAGTTTAATAGGAAAATGCATGGTTAACATTGCTTGTGACGTCACGTCGAAACTTTAATGTGATTTTTCGGTATATTCTACACTTTTCCGCACTTTCTTTTTATTTTTAACGTGTTTTTTGGGTCATTTCACATTGATTAAAAAAAATCCTCGATTTTTAAGCCACATGATGATTCTTGAATTTTTCCAAAAATAAAGGAAATAGAAACAGAAAAAGATCGAGATGCTCAAGCAATTTTTGAAAAACGTTTAGAAATAAACAAAGAACTTGAAGGTCAAGCCGATGATAAAGTTTACCGTGGGTTAAATAATTACGCCCAATATTATAAACCGAAAGATACCGCAGCAGGAAATGCAAGTTCCGGTAAATATATATAATAAAATCCAGTTTATATCTCTTGGTGTACGGTCTTTTTTTATAATTTTAATACATATGAACAAATTGTTCCATTTAGTTCCTCTCCGTGATGAAAAGAGGGGTAATCTTTTTAAGAAGCTTCCTTATTACATCTCCCAGGTCTCCTTTGGTCGTCCTCTTACATCCAGTTCTTCTCCAACCCTGTTTCGCCTTGTTATATTTGTTATTCTTATATATTAATTAAAAATGATTCAAATTTCATTAAAATATTTTAATTTATAAAGGCCTTGTAAGACGTGGTCCAATTAGAGCTCCATCGAATTTAAGAGCAACAGTAAGATGGGATTACCAACCAGATATATGTAAAGATTACAAAGAAACCGGTTTCTGTGGTTTTGGTGATTCATGTAAATTTTTACACGATCGCAGCGATTATAAACACGGTTGGCAATTGGAACAAGAATGGGATGCTGGGGAATATGGAAAAGAAAGTGATGAAGATAAAAAGTACGAAATTGATTCAGATGATGATGATCTACCGTATAAATGTGTTATTTGTCGTAAAAAATTTGTTGATCCGATTATAACAAGGTGAAAAGAAAATTATTTTAGATGTAAAATTTGAGATTTAATTTTGATTTTGTAGATGTAAGCATTACTTTTGTGAGAAATGTGCGGTTGAAAGGTATAAGAAATCGACGAGATGTTTTATTTGCAACGCACAAACGAGTGGTGTCTTTAATCCTGCGACGCAATTGTTGGCTAAAATTAAAAAGGCCAAGCCTGAAGATACGGATGATGAAGAAGAAAATAGCGATGATGATAATAAAATTAAAGATGAACCAGTTGGTTCAGATTCCGATTAATTTTAATTAAAAAATGTCATTTTTATTATTTGTAAATAAAGATGAAATTGGTTCAAAACCTAATTGGTTTTGATTTATACTTTTTCCAATCGATTTATCCTCTCTAAAAAGAAATAAATCATTCAATTAATGTATTTATGTACAATTCGTTCAAATAAAAGAATGTCGATGAAGATGGATAGACTGAGTTGGATGAAATTTAATATGTTGTTCACCCTTCAAGATCAGTTTTTTTTTCATAATACTTATATACGTTTGGTAGTGTCAGCATCAAAAAGGCATTGCAGATTACCTTTCTGGTAGTGACATTAGTCTAACCTAGTCTACAAAGTTAAGGTAAGATTCAAGAACGGTACAATTTACAGGAACTGGTAATTCCTTTGTTCTTCTGTCATCCAAAAAATGACGTAAGCAGCGGACCACTACGTCATACCATGTGTCACGCCGAGTCAGCTGATATGGACAAAATATACGATACGATAGTTGTCAGTATCAACTATCGGCCTTGTGTTGATATGGTGATAATTGTATCGCCACGGTCTAATAAAATGAAATCATGCATGTCAGCTTATTAAGTCAAGGCTGCTTGTAGCTGATGTGACATGGTGTTAACTGTAGCACCTCGGCCGCAAGCACCATCGGCTTAATACAGTTACATCGTACATTGCAGTGTATTAAGCTGAGGCTATTTGCGGCCAAGATGGTACGTTGTTTAACACCAGTCTTTTGTTGATATTGTAACTCGCCTTCGTCGAACAGGTTGCGCATTCTCCAGTACGTATAGTGGTCCGCCATATCATTCAAATAGCATTTTCGTGTATGTTTACCACATCTTTAAATTCATTTTTCATGTTTTGATTTAAGCTTTGTTTGTTGGGACTGCACTTCTTGCACTAAGCAGTTTAGTGCAGATGTTATGTGCTCGTTGGGGATAGTGTAGTTTAGTGCAGTTGCACTCATACTGTGCATTGGGCCATGGGCAGTACAATTTCGTGCAGTCGGTGCAAGTTAGTGCAAATTTAGTTGAACCTGCTTTCTGTGAAGTTCAACAAATGCAGTGTAACTCAGTGTAACTAAAATGGCGAAATATTTGGAAGCGTGTTTTGTAATAAATGAAGATGGAGATAAAATCATCGAAAAGATTGTTATTTGATTGTTGTAGGTAAGTAGCTATAATATTATTATTAATATTAAATATTAAGAAATAAAACCTTATAATAATTAATATTTGTTGTATTAGAGAACACAGTGCATTCAATGCCAGTAGAGGCAGTAGAAAATGGACAAGAATGTTATAATTTTGAAGATGGGCGTACAATACGATTAAGAAATGATGAAGAAGAGAATAAAGAAAATGAAAAAATGGATTGGGATGATGCCAAAACAAAATTATTGCTGCATCTCTATTAGAGATTGCAATACCGGGATCCCAGACAATTTTTGTCCTGTATTAAAAACCGGTATTGATGGCAAAATTTTTCGGTATTATTTTTATTTAGTGCCCTCGATGGCCGGAGGCGGCCGATGTCTTCGAAAACGGCCGTGCTAGTTTGAAGTTGTGCTGGAAAATGACGTAGAGGATTCTTGTTTGTTATCTGTCTTCTGTCCTTTCTAAGTTTACATTTTCATGTGACATTTTTTGTCGTTTCATTAAAAAAATGCTAGCCGGAGGCGACCGATCGAAAACGGCCGTGTTTGTTTAAAGCTGTGCTGGAAAATGATGTTGACAAAACAGAAATTTGTTATCTATCTTATGTCCGTACTAACCTCATTTTTTCAAGTGACATTTTTTGATTAGTGTGAGTACCATCTACAAGAAATATCATTTTGCACTCTGACAGAATGTTGAAGATAACGAAGACTCAACCTTTGATGACGACAACTTAATGTTCGTGTTCAATAAATTTGTCATATCTAGCCAACAATAAAATACTCTCTGCGTACAACTATTTTTGGAGTTTTTACTCCATAATGGTGTTTCTGGTCAGTTTGATTCGTGTAGTGTCCCACCAAGTATAACAGTAGTATGATAAGTCTGACAAACTACCTTGAGCCATTATGTTAAAGTATCTTTCTTGAATCTGCTCCTTTCCAGGAAATTACAAAGCAGGAATTCGAAAGAATTCCACAGAGCTTCAGATGATGAAGTGTAATTTCATTTTTTGACGCGGCAGTGAAGTTGAACCTTTGGACCAACTGAAAGACAACAAAACAATAATGGTATCCAGACCTTTAAGTTTATTGGTACTTTGTACAGATTCCTAATATCTTTCAATTTTTTTATTATCTTCTCAGATTCTGTATCTTATGCTTTGTTGCCAATCTAAAAATATAGTAGTAATTAACCAGTTGTTAGTAGAGGTGACGCCGCAGAGGGGAAAAAAATCTTACAATTAGATATATTTAGTGATTGTAATTTAGTGAGTAAACTTTTTTATAATAATACCGGTATCCCGGTTTAAAAAATTTTGAATACCGAATCTCTATAAAGAAAAAAAAACTTTAGTTGAAGCAAGAAAAATAAAAACTTTAAAGAAAATGTGGAATTTGATAGTGATAAAATGAAGGGGTAAGGGGACATTGCATCTCCTCTCCAAGTAAAGAATAACTGGAAGAAAATGGGGAATATCGATGATCTGGAAAAAAAGTGAAAACCAGATTGTGCAATAGAAAAATGCATAGAAGATGAACCAATTGCAGGACCTTCGAACGTTTCGGTTCCCGAAGCCGAAAGATGCTTTACACCAACAGTAACAGAACCCCCAATCAATTTAATTGACCAAGTGGTGATTCAAGAAATACAAACTCCATCCCAGAACAGAAATCGGAATCGCACCACGGCTGGAGAATTAAGTAAATTAAGACAATTGCAAGAAGAAATGTTTAAATTTAAAAAGGAAAATGAGGAAAGAAAATTTAAACAAAGCCAGGAGTTAATCGAAGAAATGAAAACTATTTCGCTTACAATCTCCTGTTCGTCCGTTTCAAATATTATACACTTTCTTGATAAAAACCTGTTCGTTGCTACCACGCTAAACACACTTTTCTAACCTGCACTCAGTTGACATAACCTTACACTTACTTACACTTAATTGCACTATGACGTCATACTAGTGCCATGTCGTGCAGAGTAGGGAAGACCCAACGAACAAAGCTTTAATATACGTTTTATACAAATTATGAGCTTTTTTTTGAATCGCCATTGGACGATTACAGAACGGTTCCCGTGAGGTTATTATAAACATTTCGAAAATAAAAATCGCTTCAGAATAATGTATCCTTCAACCGTACAATGCTCTGATCCGGAAGATACCGGACACCTGTATATAAACCTTGAATCAAACCTGCTTTCTATTCCAATATGGCGACTTCAAGGACACGTTAGGTGAACTAAAAAAGGATCTAAGGTGATCACCGACAGTTTGCATTCTGATTGTGATATTCTGTACTAGAGCCTAGGCTTAATACACTGAAATATCGTACATTTCAGTCACTGTATTAAGCCAAGATTCCTTGCGGCCGAGGTGATACGTTATTTGACGACAGTCCTGTGTTGATATAGAATTAAGTAGGCGGCAAGCAACCTTGACTTGATTGTTGTTTGAAACCAGCCTTGTCTTGTTATGGTATTCTGTAAACTGTAGCGCCTCGACGTCATTCAACATCAATTATTGGTTTGTGTTGGTGTAACGAACATATGCAGCTGAATCTGCTTCAGTAAGAGGCTGATGATCATTAGGTACTCTTCTTCAGCTTTTATCACATCGCTGCGGTTATTTGAAGTATTCGTTGCTGAGATGGGCCAAGATCCTAAGATGATTGTACGTGGTGATAATAGATGTGCTTGACATCAGGTTCTAGATCATCAGCGAATGTCTACCAATAAGCAGCACTGACTCGAAATACCGAGACGACAATATTCAAATTTTTATCTTTTTAAAATATGGTATGAGGTTAAAGTATTCCTCATAGTGTACTAATTCATTGCTATAAAGAACTCAGTGTCACAGTAAAAATGCACGTTTAGCAAACAATAAGTATACACAACTACTTTGGTGTTTGAGGTACAATCACGGGCAACCGTTCATAAGGCCAGATCAATAATTACGGTAGAGCAATATGAAGTATCTAAGGAAAGTGGTAGACAAGACTATAAGAGCCTAAAAATTAATAGTGGAGGAAGCAGAAAACAAGGAACGCATAAGGATAGACATATTGTCTGTATGAGAGTTGAATCGTACCCACGAAAAGTAATAAGAGCATAACATCAAGAAGCTGATAAGGAAACAAGGAAAAACAAGCTAGCAAGTACGGATAATGTCAACGCAGAAGATGGATCGAGGTTCCAACGCAGTTTGCAACAAATGGGACAAGGAAAAAAGGAGTGATTGAGTTTTATCATGTATGACACTTATGTTATTGTGAATGAATTTAATATTCCAGTGTTTGCATGTCAACAATAGGTTGCTCGATCCAGATCTCCCACCTTCTCTGACTATCTAATGATGAGAGTTACTTCTTGGCCATTAATAAGACTGGATGATAAGTCAATGAGTTTCTCTACTACAACAGAGATATGTACCCCCCAAGATATGTACTTCTTTCGGGTAAGGTTACGCGTTAAGGTCTCTTACTTAGGAGGTGATAATAACATTCCTTACTAACTTATGGACATACGTTAAAATCACACATGGTAATCAAAAATTCATGGTAAAATTGTACCATTGTGGGAATGTTGTTGCTCAGTTGTATGATAGCAATTTTCTTTTAGTTTGTGTTGTACTAGATGATGTTAACTTATTTCACCTTTCGTTTTCAGTCTTACCGTTGACAAACAAAAAAGCGATTTTGAAAAGTCTTCGAATTGATTCAGATGCAATTAATAAACATATTTTTATCCTGGTTGATTGTGATTATCAATTTGGTCATGCTATCGTAGTTTATTTATGATACACTTGTATGAGGCAAATAGTTGCCATTATACACAAGCTCTTTCAAACTATTTGATGTGTTAAATCATGACTTGAGAAGAAATTAGATTGTCCTAGTTCTTGTAGATCTTA